TCCCTATTGCTTTCAGTGTTGATTCCACACTTTCTTATGTCCAGTGCTCAGACCAAAGTTTGGCCTTATTAGAAAGAGCAAAGTTCCTTGTGACCCCAGCGTTGGAGGAAACAGACTCCGAAACAGTACGCTGGATCACAGGCCACGAAAAGAATAAATGCAGCTGTACCAGTGAGTGCAGGATGACCCACTACCTGTGTACAGCTGGACAGTTACAGAGGCATCTAGAGGGTCCAGATGAGAATGGGTTGTGTTTCAAAAACTTTCTGGAAAAAGTACATTTTGAACAAAGTTTTGAAAGTGGGATGCTACCTGGATTAGTGGGGAGAAACAAAGGGCGTTCGGGAACAGGGAAAGTTGAGTCAGAAAAGTTGCTTTCATTCTAGAAGCTCATGATCTGCTGCTCAGATATCCCCAGAGGCAAAGAGGAAATGCGGCAGGTTTTGGGTAGTCAGTCAACATTCCTTTTTTATCTCAATGACAGCACACCTCTAGGTGGCAGGAGTCCCTGGCAAGCTGCCCAGGAATTGGACACTCACGCAGAGTACTCGTAGGCCAGGTTGACCAGGAGACCGTCCGCCAGGCTGAGGTTCAGGAAGTCGCTCATGCCGCGGATCTCGTCGGTGAAGGGTTGGGGAAGGAAGCTCTCCAGCTCCGTGATCACCTTTCCAATCAACGTGAGGGCCCACTTGGGGACTCTGTCTCTAGAAACGAAAAACCAGCGTCTGACCTGCTTAGAAGATAGATGGGTGCAGGGAGGCAGGTGTTAAGTGCCTCTGTTTCCCTATAGAGCTGACAGCTCTGGAGTCACAGAGCTCTATCAGCAGCGTCCTAGAGGAAAAAGAAACCTCGGAAGGGGTGATCCCCGAAGTGGCAGGCGTGGGGAGGCCCAAGGCCTGCAAAGAAGGCGCGGATTGTGTCCTCTACTCAGTAACCATGTGACAGCGCACCATCCTGACCCGGAATGGGGTGCCACTGGTGATTTAAAAGTCAAACCAGCCGCGCCGGATAGTCCCCGCCCGCCCCATGCTGCTCAGCGCCAGAGCAAAGCCTAGTCCTAGAGGAGGAGGAGAGGAAGATGTTGGAGACGGAGGGGAGGAGTATAATCTGGGTTGAAAGCTCAAAGGCAGCGAGCCTCTGGGCTTTTCCGCACTCGGACCCCAGCCGCCCGTGTTCCCACAGACAAGGTCCTGAGCCCGCGGCTCACCCGATGATTTGCACCACCGCCGCGCGCACCAAGTCCGAGTCATAGTGCCGCAGCACCGGCAGCCAGCGCAGCTCTGGGGCCGCGTCCAGGCTCACGTTGAAGAGCGGCGGCGTTGGGCACGAGGCGGAGGCCCATGACCAGACCCCGGCTAGTGGCACCAGCAGCAGCAGCAATGCCTGCGCGGGTTGCGCCCCACGGTCCGCCGCTCTCATGGTTCAGGATCTGCCTGCAGCAACTCGTCCCGCTGCAGTGGCCACTGACGTCTTGGGAAGCCAAGGAGTAGCTGGCGAAGGAGGAGGAGCTGGGGCGGTGCCGAATGCCAGAGGCGGGTACTGCAA